ATAATAGCGAGAGCAATAACGATATTGATGATGAATCATTGACTACATTCAGAAGAAAAGAGACCATTTGGACATGCTTTTCCGAAATAGCAAACGCAAGTGATGCATCAACTTCTGCATGTGGGAATGCAATTTCTAATAGGAATAGTAGTAATACCGAGAGTAATACTAAGTCCTGTGAAATTGATACTTATTTATCCATGAAATTGATAGAGCGGATTGAATCGCCATTTTTATGGTGGCATGACAACAGAAAAATACTGCTAATTTTATCTAAATTAGCAGAAAAATATTTGTGTATTCCTGCGAACAGCGTATATAGTGAACGTCTCTTTTCCAAAGCTGGAATAGTTTATGAGAAAAAAGGAATAGATTGCTTCCAGATAACGGCGAAAAACTAATATTTTTGCACCATAATTTACCATTATTAAATTATCAATATTAGTGTAATATGACTGACACTAATAATCCAAATTTGTTGCAATGACTGATTTTTATTTATTAATATTGAAGAATTTCTATTTTTTATTTTTAATTTTCTCAGAATTTATTTTACTGAAACAAAAATACATTATTTTATTGTCTTCTATTGTTTATTTAGGTAATACATGTTTATTTTTTATTAATAATAAATGCTGTTAAAATTATTCATATTTACATTTTATTTCATTCTATTCCTTAAGAATTTGAACAATTAATTTAAAAAATCACTATTCGGCCAAATAGTTGCTGGTATTCGGCCAAACCGAATATTCAAAAAAAGCAACCGAATAAGCCGAATACCGAATAATGCCGAATATTCGTTACATCCCTAATATTTACGCGTTTGCATATTAGTCATTACAAAAGCACAACACACCGAAACGATATATAGATGTATGTATATATCTATGTATATATGTATATATATATATATATATATATATATATATATATATATATATATATATATATAGTATATATATATATATATATATACACATACTATATATATATATAGAGTAACGTATGTGCGCGCATATACACTTACGCGGTGCCTTGTCAAACTCGCCTACCAATCAATATCGACCAGAGCGTGGAGAACGTACTACGCGAGCGAGATATACACGCAAATGTAGGATACATCGATACGTTGGGATAAACGCGGTTTTCCGTGCACGAAGACCTCTACGCACTGCACATATATGCACACGCGGATACTGAGACACACAGATAAACATCCATACGTCGATGCCTCGCAGCCGTATATAGGCGTATTATTTCGCCGGGGCATCAGGCACCGTTCCTGTTCCAGACACGAAATTAAAGCGATCGATCGCCGTTGCGGATGCACTCTGCTGGAAGATACTCGCTCATAGCGTAACCTGCGCCGATCGACACGAATTGGCGAGCAATCGACGATTTATTCGCATCTCGATGCAAATTGATTCCATCTCGCGCACGGAATCGCCAAGGAGCGTTTTGCGTAACGTGTGGTTCCCCAGCCGGCGTGCCGCGAGCGTTTTTTAGATGCTTGTCAAAAATTATATCCACAAATTTAACGTAAAATATGAAATAATATTTATGCTTCAGATATTTCAAGTCTATAGAAGTATTTTAAAGCTAAAACACATAAATTTAAATAAATATTTAATTTACTGTAATATTTATTTATTATTTGTGGCGGCTCACCGCCACACCGCTGCACTGACGCGGTATAATACATCGCGGCGCCGCTACGCGCCGCAGGCCTTCTACCAGTTACAAGCTTGCGGACCCACCGCCAGGTTGCGCAGGCGGTGAAGAACCTTCTCGCGATCAAGCTTCGATCGACGAGATATAAAAGAGCTGCTCCGCAGATCTTTCCTCACTCACTCGCTTCAAGGCGAGCTCTCCCCAGGGCCCTTGAACTGAGTCATATTCTGCCTCGGCAGAAGATAACCAGAGACACATAGTCTCGCCGTTTTCTC